GTGCCTGGAACCCACCTCGTCCCCAATGCAGGGACTCAGCTGACATTTGCAAAGGGACCCCAGGCACAAGGCAGGACTCCAAGTCCCCAGGCCCCTCAGGATCTCACAGCAGCTGCAGGTCTGGAGACTCCCTCCCTCCAGTCAAAATAGGGTCTGTCACTTCTGTCCCCTTGATGTCCCTTTTGGAAGATTGAAATTGCCCAGGTGGGTGGGGACAACCTGGGGACCAGCACAGGCTGTCCCTCAGAGAGCTGGAGGCAGCCACTCGTCTACACCCCGGTCCAGTCCTGATGCCCGGTCTCTTGGGTTAAGGCAGCTCCTCAGCATCATCTGGAGCCCAGAACTGCCCCTGCCACCTCTGGCCATGCAAAGGCTCCTCACCACAGGGCACTTCCATGTGCCCTCTGTAGCGTGGGAATAAGACAGAGGGGGAGGGGCATTCTCTTGATGGCCCAGGCATGGCTGCCTCCCTGACAGGCCCCCTTTCCCTGGGCCTGTCCCCCTTTGCCTCAGAGCGACCTGGCACAGGGTACCGCGTGCCAGTTTGGCTCAACTTCTCTGTTCTAGAGATTGTTTCTCCTGGTAAAACCTCAGAACGATTTCCCGGGCTCCAGGACCACCCTCCTATACCCCTCTTGCCGCAGTTTTCTCCAACACACACACACACACACACACACACATGCACACATGCACACATATGCACACACACATGCACACAGAGGCACACACATGCACACACAGAGGTGCACACATGCACGCACAGAGGCACACACACACGTGCGTGCACACACATGCCAGGAGTGTTGGTTGAATACGGGTCAGCCCCTCCCCCAGTACAGGCACCACGAGGGCAGGGAGTTGCCACAGCATCCAGAGCCCAGCCCAGTGGCCGGCACACGCGGCTCTTGGTGTGCATCACAAGGGCATGAGCGTGCCCAGGGACACCTCAGCTGAATGACAGCTTCTCTGTGGCGTATTTCAAAGCAACCTGGAAAATTGCAGGTGGTGCTAAGGACTAGAAAACTGGAAGCTAAAGAAGACGCACACAGCAAGAGGGAATTCTTGTGCTGTGGGGACCTTGGGGTAAGCACACCGCTCTACGTGCTCCTGCTGGGACTTACGGGTCTCTCCGTTAATCCCCCCAAACACTTTAATCCCCAAAGCTCTGCCCAGGACAGTGGTCCTGCATCAGGCTGAGAGAGTCCTCAGGATGGACAGGATGGCAGGATGGGGATGAGGAATCTAGAGGGACTTCAGGGTCTCAATGTTGAGAGGTTTCCATTCTATGACCAGGTTGTGAGCTGTATATTTTGTATATGGATATTATTCTTAAAATATACTATATCATTTGATCCTCAATATCATAAGTGAGCACTAGTATTATCCATGTGGCTTAGTCAGGTTTCTGATCTGATAGTGCTGTGTAACAAACAGCCCCACCAATCCAAGGGCTGTCACATTTATTTTCCTTTTGTTGTTGTTGTTGTTGTTGTTGTTTGCTTTGTTCTGTGTGTGTGGTGCTGGGGATTGAACCCAGGGCCTTGTGCATGCGAGGCAGGCACTTTACCAACTGAGCTGGATCCCAGCCCTGTCACATTTGTTTTCATCTCACAGTTCTGCAGGTCAGCTGGAGTGACTTTGCTTCATTCTGTGCGTTGACTCAATTTAGCTCCAGGCCACAGGGCAGATTTATTCAGCTCCATGAGTCTATCTGGGGACCATCCATTTCTTGGGACACATTGGTCTTGCAGTGCATAGCAGACCAGGCCAAAATCCCAACCGTTGTCCAAGATTATGTTTTTAAGATAGTGTCCCAAGTCACGTAGCCAGACCATGCTTCAGTGGGGGAGGTAGGGGACACTGGGCCTGCCCCAGTCCCAGGCATTGCAAGTCATTTGGCAAACATAAGTGCAAAATTCAAGAAAGGATGAAAATTTGGGAATAATATGCAATCTACCCCCAAGAGGTCTCACACACAAGAATCCAGGACCTTCCACAGGGACACACATAGCCCCATGTCCCACAGCTGCATGTGTGATTCCAACTGGGAACAGTTGTCTGACCTCAGGCTGCTCTGTCCCCTAGGTGCCAGGTGAGTATCAGGTACACAATAAGTGGATATTATTCTTAAAGTATACTATAACATTTGATCCTCAATCTCATAAGTGAGCACTAGTGTTATCCATGTGGCTTAGTCAGGTTTCTGCTCTAATAGTGCTGTGTAACAAACAGCTCCACCAATCCAGTGGCTATTCTAAATCCCGAGTTCTCTGCTGAAGTGGACCTTGCAGACTGTAGTTTACTGCATGTCAATGATTCCTCCATGAATCTGTTCAATTATTTCCAAAAGAGAACTTTAAAGAAAAATCATAATCCATTTAGAAAATGACACGTTAGTCCTTGGTATAAGACTTGATTTGGAAGAACCTCAGCAGAGGGTTGGGGCTCAGAGTCCACGAGCGGGAGCCAGAGTCTGAGAGACCTAGGTAGGGGCCGGTGGACGGCGAAGGCCCTCGGCCTTCCCAGCAAGGCCTCGCTGGACACCAGGCCAAGGAGGACTTGATGTTCTCAAGAAGTGACAGCTGAAGCTAGGGAGAGTCTCCCGCTCTGCCGGACACTGGGGTCCTTGCTCACCTGCCAGAGAGCAGAAGGGTGAACTGGGACGGTCTGCAGGGTCCAGGGCAGAGGGCCAGCTTTCACATGTGGATCTTATTTAGGTCCAAGTTCATGTGAAGATAGGCGCACATGGGTGTGTGTTCTGTATCTTACATGAGATGCATTTCTATATCAGATACTTAGAGTTATAGACTAATAGATGTTACACAAGTGCATTTTGTAGGCATGTGTTGATATGTTGAACAAACACTGGAAATCCGATGACGTCGTGTGTTTGGCACGTGGAACTGTGTATGAGATACACGACCCTCCGGTGTGGAAAGGTGAAGGTGCTGATTTGGTTTCCTTCGGGGACCGCGGTCGGTGTGGAGTGGGAATGGCCCTGAGAGTTGACAGCTACGTCCTGCAGTGTCTCCAGGTGAAGCAGTATGACCCCTGGCCCTGGGACTGGCCTCAAAGTAAATAGGGAGGGGACAGAAATGAAGTGACACAGATGGCCGAGCGTCTTGGTGTGGCTGGGCGGGGGGCTCACCAGCTCTCTGGTTTTGGTCAGTGCTCAGTGTTTCAGAGTAACCAGCTCCCATGATGGAGTCTAGCAAGGGTTCTCCCTGGCATTTAAAATCGTGGTAGCATCCATCCGACAGGAATGTACCTTCTTAACCACCGTCAAGTGTCCAGTTAGGCTGGGTCACGTTGCTGTGCGGCCATCTCTGCTGTCCCCCTGAGTTTCATCCCTCTCCCCAATCTGAATCTCTGTCCCCAGTAAACACCAACTCCCCGCAGCCCCGGTTGCCTGCTCTAGGGACCTCACCTAAGTGGGATCACATGGGCTTTGTCCTGATGGCCTCTTCACGAGCATCATGTCCTGGAGATCCATCCATGATCTGTGTTGTACGGCTGTCCAAATGTCCTTTTTTTTTTTTTTTTTTTTTCCTGAGGCTGGCTTTGAACTTGCAATCCTCCTGCCTCTGCCTCCCAAGCCCCTGGGATTGCAGGCATGCACACCACACCTGGCTCCAAACTGTCCTTTTTTAAGGCCAACTAATATTCCATTGTATGGATGGATCACATTTAGTTCATCTGTTGTCCTTTAATGGACACCTGGTGGCGTCCGCCTTTTGGCTCTTGTGAATAATGCTGCTACGACCACGGGTGTGCACATATGTGGAGTTTTTTTTTTTTCTTAAGATTCTATAAGTAGATAATGGTGGTTAAGCTTTTTCAAATCAGAAGTGAGACCTGTGGCCTGACATCCTACACCTACTTATTTGTGAAGCACTGGAAACACAACACGTCCAGTCCTGGCTGTGTGAGGACGCCAGGGACGCCGCGGCTCCCACGGTGAGCAGGATGTGTGCACCCAGGTCCAGGCCGCCTGCGCTGAGGCCGTGGAGCAGGGGGCAGGGCCCTGGGGGTGCAGCCGTGTTTTCAGGGAGTCTTGGCAGGGTGGTGGCTAGAAAGGGACAGTGCTTGCCACGGCTAAGAAGCTCACCAGCCCAGCAAAGGGCAGGGGCATTGCCCCCATCAATGTCACAGCCCACCCCGTCCAGGAAGCCACCCCCAACCCTCCCGTTCCTCCTCCTCCGGGCAGCCTCCTCGGAGCCCTGGGATGGGGCCACCCCTGCAGCCCAGCCAGAGTCCACGGTCACCTGAGTCCTCAGGGCGCTGGCCTGCAGGCCCACTTCTGGTGCCTCTCTTCACCCTGATCAGTGCCAGGAAGCGAGGGCAATTCCCGGAGCTCCCTGCGGGCACCCCCCACCCCCCACCACCACCAGTCCCCCCACCCCGCATGGCCTGGGGGGGCGTGGGGGACCCGAGGCCCAGCCCTGGGTCTGCTCTCAAGGGCTGGAAAGCAAGACGCAGGCCACGGGCGGGTGCAGCAGGGTCAGTGCCGTGGCTGATGCCCCGAGTGGGGAGACACCCTGGAAAGACCCAGAGGGGAGGGTGCCAGGCTCCTATGAGGCTGAGAGGGGGCAGGACCAGGAATGAAGCCGCAAAGGGAAGGGCGGGGACCTGCCCAGACCCTCACTTCTAACCAAGACAAAGTCCCCAACCCAGCCCCGCCAGCCCAGGCACAGGGCCCAGGGCTCCTCTCTCTCCACCTGTCCGTTTTGACCCCTGTTCTCTGGGAGGTCCCCTTTCTGATTCTCAAACCACTAAAATCCTCCTTGTGCCTCTAAGCCCAGCCCCCAGGCCACCGCCTCCCAAAGCCCACCGAGATTCCCCCTCCCGGGAACTCCCATGCCCCAGCCCCAGGCTCGCCTTGGCAGAAGCTCTAGGGTCACCTTGCCACCTCCCCTTTCAAATGGAGGCCTGGTACCAGGAGGGGTTGGTATGGGCAGGTGCTCAGCCCTGCGGAACAGACTGGTGTACAGACGGACAGGTGGAAGTGACACACACTCTCTGCCTTAGAACCAGTTGCAAGTACAGAAACAATGCCAGCTGTCCTAAGCCAAAAGAGGTGGATGGCCTCAGGCAAAGCTGGATCCAGGTGCTCCAACAAGGTTCCCGGGTGTCTCCCTGCCGGCTCCATCTCTCAGCTCTGTGACTGTCTGGCTTCATCTTGGCTTAAGCTGTCCACGCGGCCGACTCCGGGAACTCCGGCTTTCTGTCCTGCCAGCCCGGGCTCCCCGAAGAAAGAGAGCTACATTCCCAGGATTGGGTCTCATGGCCTGCCTTGGGTCACGTGAATGTCCCCTTCCCAAGCTCTCTGACCAGGGGCTGGAGTCCCCTGATGGCCAGGGAGGGATGGCCTGCCTGTTCCTGGAGGAGAATGGAAATGCCTGAATGGGGACCTGGTTCCAGGATGGTGCCCGGCAGGTAGAAAGAGCCCTGCCCGCCTTCCCGAGTTCCCCCAGGCTGGCCAGCCCGGAGGACGGCAGCCCAGCAGGGGGAACGAAGACAGAGGGCCCTTCCACAGACCCAGCCCCAAGGAGGAGACGTACAGGTGAACCTGCCCCAGGAGCCACGCTGTGGGGCCGTCAGACGTGGGGTGCTGCAGAACAGAAGGCGTGAGGGAGCGGTCCACTGGGGCCGCCGGGGCTCACACGGCAGGAGCTCTGGAGTCACACCATGCCGGCCGTCTCTGCCCTCTCCCTGCAGGTGTTCCAAGCCACATCCCAGACCCCAAGCGTGTCCCCAGCTCTGACTGGCCCCCAGTTCTGCAGTGTGCATTACAGCAATGACCCGCGGTCATTTAGACAGCAATAAAAAAAAAAAAATCTAAAGCCAGCCCGGCACAGTGGCACGCACCTGCCATCCCAGCTACTCGGAGCCTAGGGCAGGAGGACCCCAGGTTCAAGGCCAGCCTGGGCGACTCGGCAAAACCCTGCATCAAAATAAATAAAAGCGGCTGGGGATGTGGCTCTGTGGTAGAGCACCTAGGTTCAGTCCCCAGCCCCAAGCTCCCCCCTGCTGAACATGACCCACACACCCAGCCCCGGGCAACCTGGATAGGTCACTGCTTCGCGGACAAAGGAAGGGACATCACCAACGTCATTCAGCAGGAGCTGAGCTGGTATTGGGCTGGTGCTGCTGCGCCCCGTCTGTGTCCTCCGTGCTCCGAGGCTGCCCTCTGCTCTGGGGCGTGGTCTCGGCGGATGCCCACCACACCGCCTCGGGATGGCCTGAAATCCACATTCCTGGGTCCCTCCTTGGACCCTGTATCAGGATCTCAGGGAGGAGGGGCCAAGAATCTGCATTTAACCAACTTCCAGAAGATTCTGATCAGCAGACACCTGGGAAACCCTCAGAATATCAGCCCTGAAATCCAATCCAAGGGGTGAGGAGCCAGGCGAAGAGAGTGCCCGAGCCTCAGGAGCCCACGGCCCCCATGGGGAAGGGACCTCTGAGGAGCAAACACGCATCGGGCCCCCACATACACTGGGTTTTTTTTAAATTTTTTTAGTTGTAATTGGACACAGTACCTTTATTTACTTTTATGCGGTGCTGAGGATCGAACCAGGGCCTCACATGTGCAAGGCGTGTGCTCTACCGCTGAGCCCAGTCCCAGCCCCAACATAGGCTAAGTTTTAACTTATGTATACTCTGAATCTTCTCCCTGTTCCCACCAGGATGGGTCAGGGGCATCTCAGGACACCACATTTTTCATGAGAGAAAGAGGCTCCCTGATCCTCAAGAGAGATTTTTTCCTGCCGTCTGAATTGCATTTGTGGAAGGGGTAATTGATTTGCTTCCCCATTTTTTATTAATCAAAGACAAACCACAACGGAGCCGGGCCTCTGATCTGGGGGACGAGGCCACACTGAGGAGCACAGAGCCCCGGCCTGCAGTCGGCTTCCTCAGGTGCCCAGAGCACTTAGGGGAAGTGCAGGGTCCAAGGTGCCAGGGAGGAAGCCCAGGATCTGGAGGGGCAGGATGGATACCTCCCTGGGGCCTGCAGGCCCAGGACCATTCACCAAGCCTCCCGCGAAGCACAAGCCCAGGCTGTCAGCATGGAGGCCAAGCTCCCTGCCACACTCTCAGAGCCAGAGAACATGATCTCCTGAGTCCCGTGGCCATCGAGACCAGAAGAGGGACCCAGAGCAGCCATCCCAGTTAGGACGCCTCCAGGCCCCCAGCTCCAGGTGGCTCTGGGGGTCTGCCATCAGGGGGCCTGAACCCTTCCTGCGGCTGCCACATCTGGGCAGGGAGGGTGTGAGCGGACCCTCCTGATTTCCCGGTGTCCCCGGTGTCCCAACAGCTGGAGTTCCTGGGGAGCAGCTTCCCTTGTGTCTCCCGCAGAGGCCACACAGCGGAAGTTCAGCAGGGTCTCCGTCTCCCTTCTCCGAGGCACGGATGCTGGCCCCAGCCCTGGTTTCCTGGCTGCCTGGCCCACCTCAGGACAGCACTGAGCCAGCTCTGGGGTACCCTGGGCCCGGGAAGCCCCTGCCTCTAGGGACAAGCGGAGCCTGGGAAGAAGGACCCTGGGCAGGGGGCAGGCTCTGCCCGGGACCCTGGTCACAGCCTCCTCTGGGATCCAACAGACCCCTGCTGCTGTGGCTCCAGGTCCCTGCGACGCACCTCCGCTCCCCCTGGCCGGTCCCCAGGCTCTGTCCTCCAGCCCCAGGATTTCTTCCCCAAAAGCCCAAACTCCCTTCAGCCACTTCCTCAAGTGACCCCTCCCACATACTGTTCCCCCTGACCTGGACCCCATGGCCAGGCCGAGTGCCAAGGCCAATGGAAGCCAGCCTGGGCCAGGTCCCCGGGGCACCCTCTCCCACGGGGGAGGGGCGCTGGCGCGTTTTGACAGTGGACAGCTGTGATCCCCGCTCCTACCCGTCTTCAGTCCTGTACCCCCAGGGGCCGCACAGCTGGGAGCCAGCCCGGGCCAGCGGGCACTGGCGGGGTCTCAGTGACATCAGGGGCTGGAAAGCGCCAGGTCCGATTCCGCCCAGGGTGGCGTCCAGGGTGGGGCGCCCAGCCCGCCCCTTAAGGAGACCCCACGGGAGCGCACGAGGGTTTCTTCCAAAGGCCGGCGGCCAGCGGTGTCCCGCAGGGAGAGCGGACCGCGAGCCCCGCTGCCCCGCGCCGTGCACGTCCAGCCGGCGCCAGGGCGCGCGGGACCACAGCTCCCGAGACGCGCTCCGCGCCGCCCCGCGGCCTTCTGGGGACCGTAGTTCTCCGGGGGTGGGGTGGGGACACCCGCGCCGCCGCGACAGGGCGGGGCTGAGGGCGCGCCCGCCTTGTGGAGTGAGCACCTCCTAGGAGCTGATCTCTAGGAGGACAGACACAGGTGGACCCCGACCCTGTCTTCGCTGGACACAAGGTCCAGGCGTTAGACCAACCTGAGACCTTTGGTGGATCCAACTTGTCATTGCTTGAGGAGTAGAGCTACGGGGTGACAGGAAAAGTGGCCACAATTAAACCGGGCAGGGGCAGATGCGGGCGGGGTAGGCAGAAAGGGACTGGGAGCTTTCAAAGGGTGGATTTGATGGTGAGTGGGGACAGTCCAGACCCACCCCCTGGTCATCCCACTAGAGCAACAGCAGGGCCGTGTGGCAGGGGCTCCCCGCCTGGGCAAGGTTGGATCCCAGAACCAAGAAAAAGAACAGGAAGGAAAATTTGGCCCAGGGAGAGGAGGGGACTTGTCCGAAGTCACTCAGTGAATCAGAAGAAGGTGGCCCAGGAGTCAGGCTCGAAGGCTGGACTCCCTGAGGGCAGGGCCCATCCTGTGTCAGCCAGGCAGCACCCGCACGGCCTCCCAGCCAGCCTGGCGCCTGGTGTGTGAGGGGGAGAGCCGGGTCCCCATGTCCCGCATGGATGCAGACGCAGGCCAGGGGCTGGTGGCTCTCACACGCTGCCTGGAGAGGCCGGAAACAGCACTCACTCCCCGGGCCCTCAAGACCTTCAAATCCGGGCTAAGAGAATGACCGAACGCTCTACCCTGAGCAAAGGGGAGGCGCCCGTCCAGCAAGGGCCCAGAGCCCCCTCTCCAGGTGCAGTGGCCGGTGGCACCAGGGCCACCAAGGTGAGCAGAACTTCCTTAGGCAAAGGTCCCCGGGAGCCTGTTTCCCCATCCATGAAGGGAGGGCTCCGTGACCTCCCTGGGGACAGGGTCATTTCTAGCAAGAAAACCAAAGATGATGGATGGACATGCGTGGGCATTCTACAAGCCAGAGAGGTGCCAGTGGGAGCCACTTCCTGCTCCGCGCCCTGATGCTACGCGAGGGACAGCCAGGAACCATGTGTGGCCGACAGGGATAGGGGCTGCCAGGGCTGGAGGAGGGCAGAGGAGAGAGGCCGGACTGGAGGCCCTTCTCGGAGCCCTGGTCACATCTTAAGTGAGCCCTCGACGCTTTGGTGGCTTGTCACAGGTTCTCAGTTTAAATAGCAGACCTTCAGCACAGATCTCCCTCGTCACCCTCCTGACACGCTCTCTGGCTCCCTCTGGTCCCCCAGGTGAAGTCCCTTCTCCATTCCATCCTCCACTAGAGAGACCAGCCACGTCTCAAGGCTTGTTTTTCAACCTTCCTTGCAGATGGAGGCAGCTGCGCAATCCGCATGTAGCCAAAGGGACACAACAAAACCCCGGGGAGGAAATTGTCTTTCTGAATAGAAACGGGCTCTGGCAAGGACAAGGCCCCTGGACCTTTGGCTCTTTGGCCTTTTGCTCCTTCTCCGTCTTCCTGCCTGGCACATGGACATGAGAGCTGGAGGTGCAGCAGCTGCACTGTGACCATGTGAGGGGACAAGTCCTCCACATTTGAAGACAGTGAAAAAGAAGAAAGTGCCACAGTGCCTGGTGACATCTGTAGGTCACTACATGAGCACCCAATTGCCCACCCCAGGCTTAGTGTTCATTAAGTCAAAATCTGCTATCTGTTTAAACCACTGTAATAGTGGTTTTTTGTTTTGTTTTTTGCAATCAATGCAATGGTGACAGTACACAGCCGGGGGTGAGTGACCCCTACTAACTCATAGCCTGTGGCCCTCCTTAGGGCTCACTGTGCTCCTGCCACTGCACTAACCTCTTTTGGTTCCTTGACCACACTGAGCTCATTCCTGCCTCCGGGCCTTTGCACTGCTTGTATCTACTAATGGCTGGCTCCTTTCCATCCTTCCAGCCTCTACTTAAATGCCACCTCCTCAGAAAGGCCTGCCCCGCCCACTGCAGGAGCAGAGAGCATCCCCAGGCACCTCCGCCCACCACCACCCTCTCACCACCTCCCCATCACTGTCAGCGATTTTCTTCATACTTATTTCTTCATTTGCTTATTTACCAAATGTGAGCTCCACGGGGCACTGGGGGTCGGCCTGATCCTTGTCCTGTATCCCTAGCGCGTGGCACAGAGTAGGCATGCAGCCAAGGTCTCTCTGCCCTGTGCTGGCTCCCCCTCTGCCTGGAGCTGGAGAGTCTGGTCCTGTGCCCACCCGCCCCCGGAGGAGTTGGCACCTTCACCTCTTGGTGCCGCCCTGCCCAGCCCTGGCCAGCGCCCCGCACAGTAGGTGCTTGCTGAATGAGTGACTGACAGGCAGGACAATCGGGCAGAGGCAGAGACCCCCCGAGGGCCATCCCTTCCCACCGCTCGTCCCTGCTACAGGGGCCAGGAACCCACTGGAGGCCTCGAGCCGCGTTCAGACCCCTGCTCTGAGCAGAGCCGGCCACCCTGGCTCCACAGAGCAGCCTCGCTGCCATCCCGGGGTCCAGGGGCATCCCCAGCTAGGCCTGGCCCTCCCTGCGCCCCATCCTCACGCCCCTGGCCCAGTGGCCTGGCGCCCTGGGCCCCGCATGGCACTGTCTTCAAAGCCCTTTCTCAACAGGGCTCAGTCGCCAGCTGCCCCGGGCACCGCCAGCTGCTGGCCTCATCTGGTCACAGGCTGCAGTTTCCACGGAGCGGACACCGCAGGGCCCAGATCACTGTCTCAGGAGGGGGACACCGAGATGCCCCAAGGACACTGGCCAGGCCGGGCCTCCAGCCTGTCCCCTGCCCTGCGTCTCTCCTTCGCCCCTCTGCCTTCCGGCCCCCGGGAATGTCCCCTCCTCACCCGCCGAGAAACGCAGCCAGAGCCCCGGGGAGCCAGGCCAGGGGCCTCCTGAGGAAGGCAGGTCTGGACGGAGGGGCGTCACCTCGGGGACAGACAGACCCGCCGCTGACAGGCTCTGGGCCTCGGACGGGCTGGACTCCCGGTCCCTGGGGGCAGCACGTGCTCAGCACAGGCAGGACTCGCAGGGTCCCCGGTCCAGGGCTCACAGAGGGCTTGCCACCCGGCAGCAGGTGCACGTCCAGGAGGGGACAGGCCCAGACGCCAGGGAGCCCTCACAGTGGGAGAGGCTGGCGGCCTCCCCCAGGGAGGGCTGGGCCCCCGCTGCCCCAGGCCCTAGACAGAGGGAGGGGACCTCCGCGGCCCGAGGGCTTGTGCTGAATGAACTCCGTGGTCCCCAGAGTCCCACCAAATATGACGCAGCCCCGACAGCACCGCACTGCGCCCGGCTAAAGGAGAGCCGGGGTCTCTCAGGGCACCTTCCAGGGATGGCCGGCAGGTCAGGGGAGACAGGCCCCCAGTGTGGGCTCCCTGCAGGCAGGAACCCCGTTCCGGGGTCAGAGCACTGCTGGTGAGCCAGACGACCAGGCGTCCCCGTCCTCCCTCCTCCAGTGGGAAATGTGCCCAGGTAAAAATACTCCCCTCCCAAGCTCCTTTGCAGCTAGGGGGGCCACTTGGCCCAATGCTGACCCTGAGATGAAATCAGGAGTTCTCTGCTGGGAACTGAGCCAGGAAAACAACTGTTTTTCTGATAAAAATAGGAACTTACCTGGCAGGGCCCTTTTGTTGTTTGCTCTTCACCCTTCCCTGGTTTCCTCCCCAGTTTTACTGCTTGGAATGCTGTCATGATACCTGGCGTGGAAGCAGCCATTTTGTGTCATAAGGATGAAAACCACATGTTGGGGAGGCCAGAAGGACATCACTGTAGCCCCGACGGTGTGTACTTCCTGTTTAAGTCATTGTGGTTGGGGCTGGGGATGTGGCTCAAGTGGTAGTGTGCTCACCTAGCATGCATGAGGCACTGGGCTTGATCCTCAGCACCACATAAAACTAAAATAAAGATATTATGTCCACTTAAAACTAAAAAATAAAATTTTTTTTAAAGTCATCATGGTTGGGTTTCTGTGACTTGCTGCTAACTGCGAATCTTGACTCATCAGCAGGCTTCCTCAGGGACTTCCCAGATGTCCAGCAGAAGAGCCAACCCAGAGCAGCTGTGATAAACACTGAGCAAAAGAGTGAATGATGGACGAGGAGACCCTGGGACCCCAGGACCTGAACAGCAGCTTCGGCCCAAAAGGAAGGCGTGTCAGACAATTCCGTCCCACCTAGGAGACCTGGATTCCTCCCAGGGCCACGCTGTGTGTCTCCAGGTAAGCTCCCTCCCCTCTCTGAGCCTCAGTTTTCCTATCTGAAAAACTATATGGAACTTGGAGGTCTTTAAGGTGGGTCTGGCCGGAAGGAGGAAGCTCCTCTCACCTTCAGATTCAGGCTCCTGGAGAGGACAGTGGGTGTCCTCTGGGCAGAACCAGCATTGATTGTGCCGCTGGACCAAGAACGTCCTGTCACCTCTGAATCTCATGCCACCCAGGAAAGCGGGGCACTCTTGTCGTCCCTATTTAACAAATGAGAAAACCGTGACGTGGGCGACTTAAACACCCTGGCCTGCATGTAGGGTGCGCGGGCGTCACCCGGTCACTGGGCGGCGGGCGGCAAGAGGTGGAAGGGTTTTTTCCTGGAGCCCAAGGTTGAATGCAAGGCCTCCCAGGAAGAGTGGCCGTGGACGGGGCAGGTCGGCGTGGAGAGACACCGTGTTGGCTGAGCAGAGATGTTCAGAGTCACAGAGGCGGGGGGCATTGGAAGGGGGCATTCTGAGTGGTGGGAATGGGGAGGGGACTGTCCTCCAGCCGTCAAGAACCCTAGGAAGGCCCAGGCCCCGCCACGCTCCCTCGGAGTGTGGGGAAGACAGTGGAGGCAGCTGGCGCTGGACTCTCCCGCGACAGACTGAGCCCCTCTGTGCCTGGCACAGGCTGAGCGCATGGGAGGCAGGAGGGAGCCCAGGAGACGGGTGAGCT